CGGACAGAGAGAGATTAGGGTTTGCGCTGGGGGCACGATCGAGAGAGACAGGGAGGATGTAGATTTGGGTTTCGATAGGTTAACGAGTCGGGTTTGGGTTTATGGGTCGGGTTTTGATTTGAACATTTTCTTTTTTTTTTAACTTTTCCCATTTGGACCTGCCTTGGGTTGGGGTGGATGGGCCTGCCCACACCTAGGCGGATGGCACCTTGGCCGATTTCTGGAACACTGCTTATATTCATTCACTCTTGGTTTCATAAAATACTAGTTTTTGTGTACGTGCAATGCACGTGATTAAATATCAAAATTATTATTATTGTTTATTTTCTTACTATAAAATAAGTCAGATTCATTTTGGGTTAAAATCTATAAACATGGTTTGTTACATTTTCCATAAATTTTATTTAAATATTTTTAAATATTTTATGAAAGAAAAATCACTTAAGGACCCAAAATATGGAACCAATGGAGGGGACATGTGATGTGTCCCCTCCCTATTGCATAATGAGCTGATCATGTCAGCTCATTATGCAATAGGAGGGGGACATCTCACATGTCCCCTCCAAATGGTCTCGTATTTTGGGTCCATGTAGCATCGCTCTTTATGAAATAGATGATTAATTATGAAAATATCTTCGGACCAGGAATAAACAACTAACAAGTTTGCAAGGGAAGATAGGGTAACATAGTATATTCTTAAGAATTATTAATTTTTACTTAGTTTGTTTATAATGATAGGATCTCATTATTAACTAACTACAAGGCTTAGTACATTTTTTTTTTGTTGGACGTTCAAGGCAGTCAAAGGACCCATGTGAGTCCTCATCGTAATGATTGTTATACAATTTAAATATAAAGAAAAAAAAATAGGGTTGATCAATGGTGTAGTTGGTGAGGGGAAACTCCATCAGCTTAATTTGGTATGTTGATATATAATAGATGGAGATGGAGAATGGTGGTTTTGAAAATAGTGGGTGTGTGTGGGTAATTAATATGGTTTTTGTTTGTGTAGTTTTCTTCGTTCATTTTCAAGATATTTGTGGTCTTGTGTGTGTGTGTGTGTGTGTGTGTGTGTATGTGTGTGTGTGTGTGTGTGTGTGTATATATATATATTATATATATATATATATAGCATTGCTACTCTCTTTTGGTTTTGTGGAAGAGTTTGGGTGTTAAAAAAATTAAATTATTTAATCCGGTTAAAGTAGGATTATATAAGTTAATCTCATACATAAAAATTATTTTAACCAACACCCATGGGTAAATATTACAATTGGCATTGAGATTTAAGATATGTGTGATATTCTCTTTGATTTTTATACAAACAGTATCTATTTAAATAATAATAGTATAGTTAAACTTTGTGATCTAAAAAATATACAATATAAATAATTTCTTTAAAATAATCTAATCTAATCTAATACGAAGAAAATAGATAAAAAAAATGTGAAAATTGTTGCAGTTTCATAATTCCTAATTTTTAAAAATCTAATTTAATTTAATTTAATAAGAAGAAAATAACAAAAAGCGCATATATGTTGAAGGAGATAAAAGTGCTATGAAAATTATTACAATTTCTGATCTGAAAAAAGATTAAACATACAATATAATTACTTGCTTTAAAATAATCTAATTTAATCTAATAAAAAGAAAATAGACGAAAGTGATGTAAAAATAGTTGATATTTCTTGATATGAAAAAAAGATCAAATATACAATATAATTAATTGCTTTAAAATAATCTAATCTAATCTAATAAGAAGAAAATAAAAAAGGCAAATACATGTAGAAGGAGATGAAAGTATTACGAAAATTATTATAGTTTCGGCTTATAAACATTGGTATGTGATGTTGCATGTGAGGGGATAACAATTGTAAATAGAGTTCTATTTAAAAAATAATAGTATAATTAAACTTTAAAACTAATTATGTAGTGTCGTGAACTACTTGAATTTTAGTCGTTAAGAGATCGCCACGTTGTGTCCTCATACCACATCGTTTATTTTAATTTTCCTTTATTATAAATTTCAAAACGATTTTGTCTCTTTAATTTGTTTGGTGGATTTTGCAAATACTTCGTCCACATTATGTACATTTGTAGGTCTGCGTTGTTTAAGGGTTCGACCTCTGCAGCGAACATTGTTTGTCTCACTAATTTGTTTGGTTTTTGCATATACGTCATTCATCTTGTATACATTTGTAAATTTGGCATTTGATAAATTCATTTAGGTTTACATTTTAATTTAAAATATATCCTTATCTTCATACTATGCATATTCAATAAGAATTCATCAATTTATCAATTTACTCTTACTTAATAGATTAATTTGAATTTCAAGGATACTTTTGTCTACCAAATTTTTTTTCCAAACTCGTGTTTTTAAAGAGAGTATGATATGACTAGTACGTGAAAGTTTCCAAATTGACCAGAAAATTTCAGTAGAAAAAGATAGAGGAATTGAGAAAAGGTACCTTGATGAAGATACGTGTCAAATAGCTTCCCGCTGTCCAATTCTTCCTTCAACAGTAAAAACCTTAAAAA